CCCTCAGTAAGAGCATTGAAGATGGGTCGTGGCTGGGTCTTCCAGCATGACAACGACCCGAAACACACAGCCAGGGCAACTAAGGAGTGGCTCCGTAAGAAGCATCTCAAGGTCCTGGAGTGGCCTAGCCAGTCTCCAGACCTGAACCCAATAGAAAATCTTTGGAGGGAGCTGAAAGTCCGTATTGCCCAGCGACAGCCCCAAAACCTGAAGGATCTGGAGAAGGTCTGTATGGAGGAGTGGGCCAAAATCCCTGCTGCAGTGTGTGCAAACCTGGTCAAGACCTACAGGAAACATATGATCTCTGTAATTGCAAACAAAGGTTTCTGTACCAAATATAAAGTTCTGCTTTTCTGATGTATCAAATACTTATGTCATGCAATAAAATGCAAATTAATTACTTAATCATACAATGTGATTTTCTGGATTTTTGTTTTAGATTCCGTCTCTCACAGTTGAAGTGTACCTATGATAAAAATGACAGACCACTACATGCTTTGTAAGTAGGAAAACCTGCAAAATCGGCAGTGTATCAAATACTTGTTCTCCCCACTGTACATGCAGCTTCTCTTCAGTCATTAGCCTATATGTTGCCCTAGAAGACTAAAATAAACCCTTGCTCACCGGAATAATGTCATAAATGTATACAATGAATGCTTCAATCTAGTTGACGTTGGTAAAGTTTTCTTTGTCATCTCTACTTCTTTCGCAGAGCAAAAATGTTTATGTACTAGGGAGAAAATGCAATAACTAAATAAAAACTAGAAGATTTTCTGTGTAAAATGTCCAAATGACATCAGTTAGACCGGTTGCAAGGAAATAGAAAGCTGTGAAAATGAGCCAACATGTTTTTGATAAGATTTCAGGTCGTCTTGGATGCATATTTTATGTGGTTGAAATACTATCAGCTTTTATGATGCTGATAAAGATATCACCTCTACAGATGGTCCCTAATTGCACATTTGCGTTCTCTCAAGACGCTGAAAGAAATATATCCTATTTCTCCACACCTGTTCCCGAGTCAAAATGTAGGCTACATTTGTTGTAGACCTATAATTTTACTGCAAGAAATGCCCTAATTCTGCTGGAGTAAATATTAAGGCTATGTGAGAGGTTATAGACTTACTGTTAGTGTCCAGATTTCAGTTTCCATTTAACCCATCTGAACAGTAAAGGCTACAGTTCCCTTGACGTGCCATAGGCCTATTTGAATTCCCCGTCTTGTGACTGTCAAATTTGTATAGCGTGCCTCACAATCATCACACATAACATAGCTGGCACTGCAAGCATCCTCTTTTACCACTTCACCAACTCTCCATTTAGCAGCTTTTCTCTTATTGAATTAAACTCCGACTTTTTCTGCCCATTGCCAAAAGCATTTGGCGATTGGTTTGTAGACTATTTGGTGCGTTGCTACAGTTAGACCCTAAAGCTTAGGTTTACGCAAAAATGCCCGATAGCCAAAAAATAATGAACGAAAAAGCTCAATGTAGCCTATAGATAGGCTATAAATTGCACAAGAATGATACATTTCTGGATTTTTTTATGTAGGCTATTGTTTTCTCTTTATTCAAGCTGCCCGCCACCCACCCGCCCTTCATCCGCACAATACAGTGCATTCGGAAAGTATTCAGACCCCTTGACTTTTTCCATATTTTGTTACATTACAGCCTTATTCTATAATGTATTAAATTGTGTTTTCCCCTCATCAATCTACACACAATACCCCATAATGACAAAGCAACAACTGTTTTTTAATAAATTTTTGCAAATGTATTAAAAAAAAAACGGATATATCACATTTAAATAAGTATTCAGACCATTTACTCAGTACTTTGTTGAAGCACCTTTGGCAGCGATTCTTCTTGGGTATGACACTACAAGCTTGGCACACCTGTATTTGGGGAGTTTCTCCCATTCTTCTCTGCAGATCCTCTCAAGCTCTGTCAGGTTGGATGGAGAGCGTCGCTGCACAGCTATTTTCAGGTCTCTCCAGAGATGTTCGATCGGGTTCAAGTCTGGGCCACTCAAGGACATTCAGAGACTTGTCCCGAAGCCACTCCTGCGTTTTCTTGGCTGTGTGCTTAGGGTCGTTGTCCTGTTGGAAGGTGAACCTTCGCCCCAGTCTGAGGTCCTGAGCGCTCTGGAGCAGGTTTTCATCAAGGATCTCTCTGTACTTTGCTCTGTTCATCTTTCCCTTGATCCTGAAAATCATCCCCACAGCATGATGCTGCCACCACCATGCTTCACCATAGGGATGGTGCAGGTTTCCTCCAGACGTGAGGCTTAGTATTCAGGCCAAAGAGTTACATTTTGGTTTCATCAGACCAGAGAATCTTGTTTCTCATGGTCTGAGAGTCTTTAGGTGCCTTTTGGCAAACTCCAAGTGGGCTGTCATGTGCCTTTTACTGAGGAGTGGCTTCTGTCTGGCCACTCTACCATAAAGGCCTGATTGGTGGAGTGCTGCAGAGATGGTTGTCCTTCTGGAAGGTTCTCCCATCTCCACAGAGGAACTCTGGAGCTCTGTCAGAGTGACCTTTGGGTTCTTGGTCACCTCCCTGACCAATGCCCTTATCCCCCGATTGCTCAGTTTGGCCGGGCGGCCAGCTCTAGGAAGAGTATTTTTGGTTCCAAACTTCTTCCATTTAAAAATGATGGAAGCCACTGTGTTCCTGGGGATCTTCAATGCTGCAGAAATGTTTTGGTACCCTTCCCCAGAACTGTGCCTCGACACAATCCTGTCTGGGAGCTCTACGGACAATTCCTTCGACCTCATGGCTTGGTTTTTGCCCTGATATGCACTGTCAACTGTGTGACCTTATATAGACAGGTGTGTGCCTTTCCAAATCATGTCCCATCACTTGAATTTACCACAAGTTGACTCCAAACAAGTTGTAGAAACATCTCAAGGATGATCAATGGAAACAGGATGCACATGAGCTCAATTTCGAGTCTCATAGCAAAGGGTCTGAATACTTATGTAAATACGGTATTTCAGTTTTTAATTTTGAATAAGTTAGCAAAAATGTTTAAAAACCTGTTTTTGCTTTGTCATTATGGGGTATTGTGTGTAGATTTATTTAATCCATTTTAGAATAAGGCTGTAAACTTAACAAAATGTGGAAAAAGTCAAGGGGTCTGAATACTTTCCGAAGGCACTGTATTTCATGACCCTAAACCCGCCCGCCATGCAGATATGACTGCGGATAGTGATGATTTGCAGTCAACCTGCACATCATCACTACTTGGAAGTTGGTTCAACCACCATCCTCTTGTGTCATCACAATGGAATGGATTGGCAGTTGTTTTTTTAATCGGAATGGCACTCATATTTTGAATTGACCAAAAGGTTCTATATAGCTAGACCACCTTTTTTTTTATCTAAGAGTGTATGCTTTTATTAAACACATTATTTTCTGTTGCTTCTAGCTATCATTTAGTTTGCAACAGCACGGGTGTGTTTGAACCTTGTTGTTTGCCACTCAGACAATGTTGCAAAATATGAATTTGATCTTCCCCTTGCCATAGAGAGCTGGTGTCGGACGTCAGCTAGCCATTTGTCTGACCAGGCGAGTCATGCAGCAGCATCATTAATATGGATATAAATGTCAATGGAAAACAGCTCAAACAAATTAAAAAGGAATGCTAGCTGTCATTTCAGAGTTTGATGTTACTGGTTAGCTTTTGTTAGCTGTTGATTTCTAAAATCCCCATTAGACCTACACTCTGGGGTAGTGATAGAAACAATGATGTGTATAAACCCTGGACTGACAGGGGCGCTGTATTGAAGCCACCGCGCAGCCTTCTTGGTACTCCTCCTCCATTGTAAAAACTATTTTGGAAGCTACATTTATTCTATTACAGACACCATAATGTATACATGTCATTTTGTCCTTGAAACGTTGAATTGAAATACTGTCGAATTCCATTCATTTCTATGGAGGACTGCTCCTACTGGGGAGTGCCAATATGGCCGACAGGTGGTTTCAAAGCCCCTTAATGTCCAATACATAGCATCAGCAATCCAGGGTTTATATACATCATTGGATAGAACCCTCAAGGTTCTTCGCCTTCACTGGGTAGGTAGGCCTATATAATATATATAGAACCTTTTTTAGTAAAGTGTTCTTTAATCTCGTCCAAATAACCCAAAAGTTCTATATAGAACCCAAATAACCATTTTTTCTAAGAGTGTAAGCTCTACAGTTGCTACATTGTAGCCAGTGATGTAGTGGTATGGTTCATCAAAATGTGGCTTCATTAGGCCATTCACCAGGCTGAGTTTCAACAATCTGAAATCAGTAGAAGTCAAAAACCATGTTACACTGTGATATGATTTTAAAGAAATGGGGTTGACTGGACAGAAAGGGTGGGACATGTACGATTATTTATGGTTGACGGTTTATTTGGCGACGTTTTCCCAGTAGACTGGGTTACGTCATGTATTGGAATTTCGCTCCAATCCGGACTCATTGAACTAATGTATATGGCTTTGAACCGCGAGGGCGCAGCGTCAACGCTATCAACAATCACCGAGATTCAAAAACACCCGGAAAGCGACATCCACCAGCAAGCGGCCACCAGCCACCTGCAACAGACCCATACTAGGGCTACCTTTCTGGGCATTGAGAGAAGTTACTATTGTGGTCTAGTATTGGACAGTCTATGGTTTGAATAGATTTGCTAAGCAGAGAACCCTGTACTGACAAAAGGAGTGCCAGCAGCAAGACTAGGCGCTCTTGGAATAAAAGAAAAAGAGGCGCCGAAATCTGTCCCTTCGGTGGACGGGATCCCCTCCATGCGCTTTGAGCGCCACTCTCGCGGAGCTATCGCAACAATGGACTCAGGTCTCCACGGGGAGCTCACTCTGTGTGCCATATCTCAGTGGGTCAGTGGTGGATATGCCTCGTAACGTCTGTTCTTTCCCATGTTAACATCGCTCTCTGATATTGTTTCCTTCACTCGCGTTTGGTAGAAGGTCCAGGGGAATAGGACTGAAGATGCCTGGACGGAACAGGTACAATCTGGTGGACGATGTCGCGGATTCGCGGGTCCCCCTCCATAATGAAGAGGCGTACCAACACGGGATACATTTCCAAGCTAAGGTGAAATGTATATCTACATTTTCTAGAATAAGCAAGACACTTTGATGTTTTCCCTATATTTATTGTCTTTCCCATTGCGCGTCTTGAAAGAGTTCTGCCGCCGCGTTATATTTTGGTGTCCAACTTCAAAGGTCTCATTTGGGGTAGGACTAGCCTATCATTTCATTTTACATGATTGCATTATAAAACTCATGACTGGTGCACGTTTGTGGTAACGACGTGACTTATTTCTAGTGACTTGAGATACTTTGTCAAATTTCCCCCTCCCCCATATGTTGCAAATATGCTTTCTAGGAGTAAGTTTTCCAAACCTGCAAACATTCACATTTCCCTCCATCTCTGTAGCCTACTTTCACCAGAGTACTCAACATGGACTGTTCTTACTCAAACTATTGGTCATTAATTGCTCAAAAGGAGGCAAAACAGAAAACACAGAACATTATTACAGACGTTTAAGTTAGTAAAACACATATAATAAAGCCTAATGTTTGATGATTTGAGATTAATCCTACAAGATGCTTATAATAAAACACTACAAGTGTATATACCAGTGTAATAACAGTGGAAAAATAAATAACTAGTTATATAGGCTTACACAATATTAGACGGCTACATGTAATTAATTATTGGTTGCAATCGGCTACTAGGCTATGCATAACCACTTACACAGGATAATTACAGGGAAAGGTGTCATGCATTTTATAGTATGGTTATCAAAACATTGTGTTGTTGTGTTTTGTTGCATCTATAACTGTATGTTGAGTGTATTGTCTGATCTAGAACTGTGCTCTTATGTGTTTTGTATAGCTGTCTTATCTATAACGTCTCTTGTGTGTGTTGTTCAGTATGTGGGCAGTCTGGATGTTCCCAGGCCCAACAGTCGTATGGAGATCGTAGCAGCCATGAGGAGGATCAGGGTAAGACAAGCATCATCAACACTTTGATCTGCTTCTCTGCTGTTGATTGCTGTTGTTATTCTGAGAGCATCCACACACTGCACAGATCGCATAAAAACCAACTTGTGTAACATGTGAACCTACAGAAATACTGTGCATCCTCTCCAACAGCACAACTGACATGCATTTATCCACTCACTCACTCGCTCACTCTCACACACACACTTATAGAGATGCTGGAGAGGTGCTTGGCATGTGTGATGAAGTCTCTCCTTTTCTCTCGGCCTGTATTTCTGTTTGTAGGCATTTGTCTATGCAGCTGTTTGTTCTTTTGAGAATGAGATCTGTGTTATACACTAACTACAGCAGAGTAATACAGTGGCCGTTACAATACACAGTGATTACAATACACAGTGATTACAACACACAGTGATTACAACACACAATGCAAACACTCTGTGTCTGTGGTGTTCACAATGGCCTTTCAGAAGGTAGCTGTTTATAGGACAATGAAGCTCATCCCTCTCATATGGGAATACCGTTAAAGGCTGGGGATATGTGTATTCTGCTGAAATGTGAAAGCACATTTTTTGGTGTGTGTGTGTATAAAGGGATAGAGATGACGTGCATACACACTGCTGGAGGGTATCGTGAGGGTGAGATACAATGGTCTCAGGAAGGTGTGTGTGTGTGGCGTCAACATTGCTGTGGATTGTGGCATGATTATTACTGTGCTCTGCTGAATCATTGCTGCCATCATCGTTTAGCCTTACCCTTTAATTTGCCCAAGTATTATTTCCAACAGGAAGACTTTTGTAAAGATCTTAGAACGACACAGGTCAGAGCATGTAAAAAAGTAACTGAAAGAGTGACTGAATAACCGTGAGTCAGCCGGAAGGTTGAGACATGACAAGGTTCTTACCAAAGCCTGACTTAACACCATGCATGGAGCAGACCCAGGGGAAATAACAGACAGATTAGTGAGCAGCTCTGACTGAGCAAAATATTGTTTCTTCTCAGTCTGTCAACATCTGTTGTTGTAGGTTAGAGTGTATTGTGTTTACAGTAAGCTTTCTTCAGCCACCTTAGGAAGTAGAGACGTTGTTGCGCCCTCTTGACAAGAGAGGTGGTGTTGACAAGTCCTCTGTGATGTGGACGCCGAGTAACTTAAAACTCGTGACTCTCTCTGCTACAGTCCCATGGATGTGGATCGGGGCATGTTCCCTCCTCTGTTTCCTGAAGTCAACAGTCAAGTCCTTTGTTTTGCTGATGTTGAGGGAGAGGTTGTTGGGAGAGGTTATCTTTTCTTGGAGGTAGGGCTGTGACATCTTGGTATTTGAGGTTATGGTAATTGGCCAGGCCAATGTACATGGTCACTGGCACATATCAGACTCAAAAGAAACACGTGAATTATTTCTGCAACTTCACTATTACCATTACACTTCATTATTATCAGTAGAATTTTATTATTATAATTGAAGTTATTATTACCTCTAAATATTAGTCTAGTATACAAATTAAGAAATGTCAGATTGGTGAGGATTGTCACATTTTTGTATTGACACAACTTAAAACATAGGCCAGGGTTCCCCAAGTAAAAAAAGAAAAGAAAAGGTTGTATTTTTATTGTTGGACATAAAAGACTGTAAAAACACCAGCAAATCAGCTCCAAGTGATTTTTATTTTGGAATCTATTCCAAAGTATTCCCACACATAATAGAGAGATACTGTACAGTGCCTTCAGAAATTATTCACACCCCTTGACTTTTTCAAAATGTTGTTGTGTTACAGCCTGAATTTAAAATGGATTCAATTGAGATGTTTTGTCACTGGCCTACACACAATACCCCATAATGTCAAAGTAGAATTTATGTTTTTCAAAATGTTTACAAATTAATAAAAAATGAAAAGCTGTTCAATAAGTATTCAATTCTTTGTTATGGCAAGCCTAAATACGTTCAGGAGTAAACATATGCTTAACAAGTCACATAATAAGTTGCATGGACTCACTCTGGGAGCCATTATAGTGTTTAACAGGATTTTTGAATGACTACCTCATCTCTGTACCCCACACATACAATTATCTGTAAGACCCCTTAGTCGAGCAGTGAATTTCACACACAGATTCAACCACAAAGACCAGGGAGGTTTTCCAATTCCTCGCAAAAAGGAGTAGATGGGTAAAAATATAAAAAGCAGACATTGAATATCCCTTTGAGCATGGTGAAGTTATTAATTACACTTTGGATGGTGTATCAATACACCAAGTCATTACAAAGATACAGGCGTACTTCCTAACTCAGTTGCCGGAGAGGAAGGAAACCGCTCAGGGATTGCACCATGAGGCCAATGGTAACTTTAAAACAGTTACAGAGTTTAATGGTTGTGATAGGAGAAAACTGAGGATGAATCAACAACATTGTAGTTACTCCACAATGCTAACCTAATTTTCAGAATGAAAAGAAGGAAGCCTGTACAGAATACAAATATTCCAAAACATGCATCCTGTTTGCAACTAGGGACTAAAGTAATACTGCAAAAAATGTTTCAAGTTTTAATGTCACATGCACAAGTACAGTGAAATGCCTTTATTGCATACTCAAAGCCCAACAATGCAATAATCAATAACAATGTATTACTAGAAAAAAACACGAGAAATAAGAATAAGAAATATGAAATACACAATTAAGTAAGTAAGCATACTATATACAGGAAATATTTAAAAAGTAAGTTCCAATACCATATTTACATGTGCAGGGATACTGGAGTGATAGAGGTAGATATGTATAGGGGTAAGGTTACTAGGCAACAGGATATAAGATAAACAGGGTAGCAGCATCTTGCATGTGAGTGGGTGTGTGGGTGTGTAGAGTCAGTATAAATGTATGTGCATATTATGTGTGAGTGAGAAAATGGAGTGAGTGTTTGTGTGTGTGTTGGATTGACAGTGTGTGTGAGTGTAGGACCCTGTGAGTGTGCATAGAGACAGTGCAAATACTGAAATAAAAGGTCAATAAAGATTCAAGGTGAACTCGGTCCGTGTAGCTATTTTGTTAGCTATTTATCATTCGTATTGCTTGGGGATAGAATCTGTTCAAAGCAATTCACTTTTTTCCTGAATACAAAGTGTTATGTTTGGGGCAAATCCAATACAACACATTACTGAGTACCACTCTCCATATTTTCAAGCATAGTGGTGGCTGCATCATGTTATGGGTATGCTTGTAATTGTTAAGGACTGGGTCGTTTTTCAGGATAAAAAAGAAACGGAATGGAGCTAAGCACCGGCAAAATCCTAGAGGAAAACTTGGTTGTCTGCTTTCCACCAGACACTGGGATATGAATTCACCTTTCAGCAGGACAATAACCTAAAACACAAGGCCGAATCTACACTGGAGTTGCTTACCAAGTAGACAGTGAATGTTCCTGAGTGGCCAAGTTACAGTTTTGACTTAAATCTTCTTGAAAATCAATGGCAAGACCTGACACTTGTCTTGCAATGATCAACAACCAATTTGACAGAGCTTGAAGAATTTTGAAAATAATAATGGGCAAATCCAGGTGTGGAAAGCTCTTAGAGACTTACCCAGAAAGACTCAAAGCTGTAATCGCTGCCAAAGGTGCTTCTACAAAGTATTGACTCAGGGGTGTGAATACTTAAGTAAATTAGATATTTCTGTATTTCATTTTCAATAAAATTTCTACAATTTCTAAAAACATGTTTTCACTTTGTCATTATGGGTTGTTGTTTGTAGATGGGTGAGAAAAAAATCAATGTAATCCATTTTGAATTCAGGCTGTAACACAATTCAGGCACTGTATATGTGATCGTATACAAATTTAAGCAAGGTTTGTTCATTTCGTTACAGTTTTTTCCTTTTCTTTCCCTTTTCATTAGTTTTTCATAGGTGTCTATTTTGTTTAAATGTATGATACTGTTGTCTTAGGCCTCTAAGGACCTATGTAAAAAGGGGAGGTCACAATTCTGTTTGTACACTTGTTAACATGGATATGCTTCTTAATAAACCTATTTGAAACAAGTCATTACACTTCATTATTATCATGGCATTTCATTATTATTATTATTAAGGTTATTACTTATAAATATAAATCTACAAATTAAGAAATGCCAGGTTGGAGAGCATCTATTGCATTTTCGTATTGACACAACATTAGCGCATGACGGAGTCAAAATAAAGATAGGCCTACCTTGTCCTTGTCTGTTAACTTTCTTTAAAAAATAACATAAATACGGATCCTATTTTGACGCACAAATCCATTTCCCAAATTTCCTGAAATATTTGCATTACGTCACAAACCCTGCTGCTGCGGTCATTCGATGGCAGTGGCATTGGCATATGTTCTTCAAAGACAGGACGCCGTAATGAGATAAATAATGTAGCCTAAACTACTGAAAATAGGCATTTTACAAGATTAAATCATGACAGGAGAGTTTTACTCTTGTTAAAGAGATGGAGTCCAGACAGGCTACTTTAGGAAACTTTCTGAATGGACATATAGGCCTATAGAGAGAATCAGCGAACACACAAGCACACCCCTGTAAAAGGATCCGTCAATCAAAGCAACCAGCATATGTCAGATACATGCAAATATTTCTCCTTTCCTTAAAACGTATTATTAAAAAACCTAAGCCTACAAGATAATTAATTGACAAGGAAAGTATGAAGGGGATAGCTATGTGATAGTATGAAATGGATTACATTTAAGTCATTTAGCGGACGCTCTTATCCAGAGCTACTTACAGTTAGTGATTGTAGACATTATTTTGTATACTGGCCCCCCATGGGAATCGAACCCACAACCCTCGCCATGCTCTACCAACTGAGCTACATCCCTGCCGGCCATTCCCTCCCCTACCCTGGGCAAATTGTGCGCCGCCCCATGGGTCTCCCGGTCGCGGCCGGCGACGACATAGCCTGGATTCAAACCAGGATCTCTAGTGGCACAGCTAGCACTGCGATGCAATGCCTTAGACCACTGCGCCACTCGAGAGACATTAAAATAGAAACAAATACACGCAGAATGTG